AATAATAACCCAGGCCATCAAGAACCAGCAGACAAAAAGCAGTTATAGTAAAATGAATGCTGGAATAAAATGCTGCCATGGTCTTCCATAAAGAGCGTCAGGAGCAGCTTACATTTCTGAAACTGAGCCTAATCCATTTGCTAAAGGGGTTTATACTGATGTAATTTCTTCTGATGGAAATGGCATGGACTCTGACCCAGGAGTTCCCCCTTCCCTACTTCCTTCCAGATTCACCAGGGAGAGGATTTCCTCAGGGCTAGCACAGTATCAGTGCATGTTATCAGGAAGATACTTCAAATCTGATGACATGGCTGGAATTTTAATCATACGCTGGGACTTCAGAAGGCTCTTAAATGCCTTTGGAAACCAAGCCTGCAGTTTTGAAAACAGATTTGAGAGAGGTTTCTCAGAAGTGAAATATTTTTTAAAACAGACTAATCAGAATAATATTCAGAATCTCAGAATCTTATCATATTTTTAATACTAGTTGGTAAGTCGAGTGAAGATACTCTGGCATTTTGTTTTTTACTTAAACAATGGATAGCAAGGCTTCAATTGATTTTGAAAAATCCATTTGCAGTTTTATTCATACACAGTATTGGTATCCTTCCAATATAAGACACTGAGCTGATAAACATCAGTTCACCTTACAGGCATTTGCATTTGAACCAGGAATTAATTCATTTGGTAAACCCTCTGTGGCTCTTTAGATAACGGCTACATCAAAGGTGGTCTGTCATCTTATTAATATATCTTGTGATGGGGCATATGAAGTAAGTTACATGCCACTTGTACTTCCCCTACGTATCAAACGATCCTGCTGCATTTCAGTATCAAGGGACTACCAAGGTCACATGTCCTCAACACTTTGATTTAAAGTTGATTTTTCATGGTAATTGGAAGAAAAATAAATGACATGCATCTTCTGAAATACATTTACGAAAGGAAATCACTCCTGTTAAACTCTAGTTGTCATAGAAGTCTGTTCTCAGAGAAGTTGCAGAGAGTAAACAAACCATTTTGCTGCACAGCCCTCAGCAGGCTATGCTAAAAACAAAAACCCAAAGCCACTCTCTGTATCTGTAGCGTAGGAACTTCTCTGGTGTTGTGGACTCACAAGCATTCAGTTGACAAAACAATCTCCAGGGAAGATGAAGAAGGCAGCTGATTGCCAATGTCATTACAAAGATAAAACCACGCTTTTGTGCTTGAAAAACATCGTTTCAAATAGAGGTTTTGGGAAGAAAACAAATGTAATTTCCTACTAGGCACTATTTACTCTCCTAAGTTCAGAGATTTCTCAGCATTAAGCACATAAAATTGCCTCTCTATTTTTATTAAAGCAGAGAAACAAATACACACAGAAGAAAAAGAAACAACTAAATTCCACTCAAATAATAGATTATGGAAGTGTAATCAGTAGGTGGTTTTGATCTATTTTCTCATCAGAACATTGCACTATGAAAATATCATTACTTGAAACAGTATTTTTATCTGTAGTTCCCTTTTGTTCCGCCTGCAGCCTGTTGGTTGATTTGGGGGCACATCTAGATCCTGTAACTTCACGAGAAATGGCATGTTGAGGGCATAACACTGACATACATGTGTCTTATCAACAGCAGGGCGACTCCCAGCAAACAGGTAAACACCTCATGGAAAAGAAAAAGTATGTTCTGGACTCACACCATATTAGATACTATGGTCACTCAATTAAGACTTGAATGCACAGGAAGATAACTTTAATACCAGTGCTTACAGAACTTTTCTTTTATACCTCACTGTAAATTAGTTTTTCAGTAAAATATTATACATGCATGAAGATACACATTTATATATAATATATATATTATTTGGTATTTGTGCAGCCCCACTGGCACTTCCAGGCATTTGTGCAGTCACAGTGTAACTCCTGCAGAGATACCTCATGATTTTACTCTACCAACAGAAGAGATGCTAACAAACCTACCCAGTGGGCTGGGGCCAGCGGAGGCTGGAGTAGAGAGAGCTCTTTGTAGCATTCCCTATGTCAGGCTCACGTTAACATCACCAGATGTGGTTCTGGCACTCCACGTTAGCAGATCTTGGACCTTCCATTCCCTATGCTTCTCATCTCAATAGCAATCCATTCTTGAAATCATCCCTTTGGCCTTGGTTGACTATGAGTAGAGGAGAGCTACCAGTTCTAGTTGAGTTAATTCTGCATTCACATGTTTTTCATTTTTCCAGCCTTGCAGTAAGAGAGACAGGATCAAGGCACTTAATAGTTTTTTTTTTTCTTGGCTTATGAAACATCAAATTTGGACCATAAAATGCATTAAAAAGTTTTTTCTCGTCATCTAGAGAAGTAAAATTCTGTTTGCCTCTGTGTGGAAGAAATACAGATGAAGTTAACCATACTCGCATTTTTTCTCCTTCTGTGCTACTTATCTGTTACACAGCTTACACTATTTTCCAAGAATTATTTGAGAGAAACTGCATTTAATCAGAGACCTCTATTTTAGATTTGTGGAACTGCATTAAAACCAACCAGAAAAAAGGAATTCTGAATACCCTAAAACCTTACTTCTCCTGCCATGAGTCAAAAAGCTCTGAGTTTCAAAAAGAAATTATAGCAGAGGTGAACTCCTTAAGAATAATCCAATTTTTTTTAACAGGATGAAAAGATGAGCGGATACCAGCATCACCAGCTGACTGCAATGGGTAACAGAATCATTAACTTTTAAGTAAAAATGTTACCTGCTGAAGTTAAAAAAAAAAAAAAAGAAGTCCAAAGCCAATTGTGAAGAAGCCACATGGTGCATAGTGAGCACAGTAAGGGGCAAAGGTTTGCCACTGGGACGTGACCGAACTCTAAGTGACAGTGCAGTCTGATCAGGTGTCCTTAGGGTCCTGATTCTGAGTCCCTCGCAGCAGGGCCAGGAAAATTGGCAGTTCTGCAGGATCTGAGCTGACTGTAACCACACAACTGCGCCTGCAGGAAGCGTCCCCAGCTCAGAGTAATGTTCTCATTAAGCGAAGCTTCTGGAAAGGTGCATCAGCTGGTAAAGAGCTGTGGCTGCGTCCAGCTCCAGTATATTTTCCAACGGTTTTCACAGAATACTGTCATTGCCACAAAGACTCCCCTTTCTGTGCTGAATCAGCACATCCAGGACCAGCTTGAGCTTGGTGTGTAGAGCCATCTGGCAGCAGCCCTGGGCAGAGGTGCTGCCTGAATGAATGCGGAGGGGATTTATGTAGGCAGGAAAGGGAAAGGAATACAGGTCAGAAACATAAAGATGGGAGGGCAGACCAGAGCCATCTGATCCACAAAAGGGAAGGTTAGCAACAGGTTTTTCATCCTGCATCACAAACCAAACCTCCCCTGAGGCAAATCGCTTAATTCTTCTAATTTCATTTTCCTTGTTGGTGTACAACTTGCCTAATAGAAACCATGTGAACAACTCATTGTTCCTCAAATTACTCCAAAGTTCCAAAGTTCTTATTAATAAAGATGAGGCTGAGATATACTGAGGTAGGATGGAAAAGAGCAGGAGGAGAGAAATTTAAAAGAATAATTAAAATAAGGTGGAAAACTTTTTCAGATGATTGGAGCTATGGTGCAGCAATAAAAGAAAAGCCAACTATAATAGGTTCAGAAAAATGTAATGGCAAAATCCTCCCAGCCAAAAGTGTTTAAAAGAAAGGACGAGAAGAGGTTTGGAAGTAATCTATTTGCAACATTTGGATCTTTATTATTCATGATAAAACAGAACTTTCCTAATCCAAATTTATTTTCAAGAAGAGCATATTATCAAGAAGGGATCACTATTGGGCTGAATCTTTCAGGCAATAATCTTTGCTAGCACTAAACAATCACTGAAAGGAGAGCAGAGAAAGAACCATCGCTGTTTGCTTTTAACCCCATCAGTGGGGAGGGAATATGTAGAAAGCTAACAGATAGGTGCTGGAATGCTATATTTTCATAACGATTTTTTTCCTCCACACATAAGAGCAATCATCTTATTTTTTTCACCCTCTGCTGTTATTCGCATATAGAATTACTCAAGATAAGGGTGAAATTATTGGTTGTCTACCTAGCAAATTAAATCAGATGAAAATATCGTGCAAATTTTAAGCAGAACTGTTCCTACACACTTTTATTTAAAGAGAATTTAATTCACTTAGAGAGAGCATTAAGCTAAAAGAACATGGCCTGCTGAATTCTCAGCAACGGGGGCTTCAGATGGAGCTATTTGCCTAAAGCCACCTTCTTTTGCATTTGCTGAACACACAGAGCTCACTTGATGGGGCTGTTAATTTAGCTCCTCCAGGAAGGGACATCAAGAGATCACTGCGTCCAACCCCTGCTAAAGCAGTTCCCTGCAATTGGTCACACAGACCTGTGTCCAGATGATCTTGAGTATCTCCACAGAAGGAGAATCCACCACTTCTCTGGGCAACCTGTGCCAGTGCTCCGTCACCCTGACTGTAAAGAAGTTCATCCACATGTTTGTATGGGATTTCTTATGTTCAAATTTTAATTTTTAATACTCCTAAATTCCTAAGGAACGCAAATTTAAATCAAAGTGAAAAGGAAAACAGCAAATATTTTTCTTCACAACATCAGAGGAAGTTAAAATCTCAGAGATGTTGAAAGAAACAGTACCACCCATATTACAAGAAAAGAACAACTAAATTTTATGAAAAACAAGCAAAATATATATTGGCCTCTGTCCAAGCCCGTGCACCCATTGGCAACAGAAACTGTACTTCTCAGTCATAAAATCACAGAATCACAGAATGGCCTGGGTTGCAAAGGCCCACAATGCTCCTCTGATTCCAACCCCCTGCTGTGTGCAGGTCACCAACCAGCAGCCCAGGCTGCCCAGAGCCACATCCAGCCTGGCCTTGAATGCCTGCAGGGATGGGGCATCCACAGCCTCCTTGGGCAACCTGTTCCAGTGCCTCACCACCCTCCATGGGAAAAACTTCCTCCTAATATCCAACCTAAACCTCCCCTGTCTCAGTTTAAGACCATTCCCCCTTGTCCTATCACTATGCACCCTCCTAAACAGCTGTTCCTCCTCCTGTTTATTCGCTCCCTTCAGATGTCTCCAGCATCACACACATGACATCCCAGAGGTCCTCGGATGCGTTATACTCAGCTGATCACCACAGCACTGCCTGCAAAATACAAACTCTGCCTGTCTGCAGGCTAGGGAAGAAAAGCCATTTTCATCAGAACCAGTGACAGAGGCATGGCAGACTTGGATGTTTCCAATGGTTCCATGAGAACTCACTTTGAAATACAACGTTCATCAGTAATTTCAGCACAACACCAAGTGAAGCATAAAAGCAAAATGAAAAGCAGCAGCACGATAAATGAAATAACGCAAAAGTAACTTTGAGCTTGAATACAACTCCTCTCCAGAACGCATCAATGCGTTATGTATGAATGAAAAGAAGTGAACAGCATACAACACAGGACTTTGTCCTTGCAAATAAGAGTGAGTCCCCAGTGCTGACAGCGTGCTTGGCGGCATCATTCCAACAGCAATGCCAGTGCTACTGGTCTCACTCCACCTAGTACAAGTGTTTTTCTAGTCCATTAGCTGGGGAAAAATGTGTGTGTGTATATACATCTGTATACACATCACACATACACAGTCACTCTCTGGTTCTGAGTTGCTGCTCTGAAGGGCCACAGATGACGCCTGGGTTTGCCATGTCGATGCCATGCTCTTCCTGCCAGCAGCTGCTCTGCACAGCTTTCCATAGACAAGCCCTGTGCTGCTGTCATGCTCCTAACGTCTACGATCATCTGAACTCTGACTCATTTTGTTTCTGGAGCACACCACGGCAATGTTTTACAAACACTGCCTTCTGAACAAAAATCGCTATGGTACCTTTGCAAACAGTCCGCCAGCCAGTTTCAGATTAATTCAAATCCCCTTTCTTGATTTTTTTTTTTCTTCTAACATCTGAAGATTCTACCTTGTCCCACTTCTGCAATCTCTTTCTTTTAAGACAGATTTATGGCAGCATTATAGTTCCATCTACATAGCCATGAAACCTTGGACCCTGCAGCAGAGCATGAGCTCATTCTAAAAATAAGAAGGCTTCACAAATAAATGAAACCACATAAGAACCCCTACGGTGAACTATGAGTATATTATACAAAGCACAAAGGGGCCCCGTGGAACACAGCAGCTCTGGAGTATTCTGGGAACATTTTTATCCTTACTAAGCAGATGAAAGATGACTCAGTTTTTGAATCTCTACAGGATGAAAAGAAATTCACCTTGGATTAGGGTAGATACCATGTATGATGAGAGATAGGCAACAGATTTCTCCAGTCATTTTTTTTCATGAACTCATTTTGGTTGTTATGTGGGTTCCTGTCAAATTAATGATTTACAACTGCTTTAAACATTTGCACAATTATTTTACTGTATTGGTAAGAAGAAATTCACAACTTCTCCTTGGCCAAGGGAAACAAAAATAACGCATCAACATTCACAGTCTTTGGGGGTTCTGTATGTATTCGCTGGGGAAGAGGAACTTGGGGAGGAACATGGGGTAAGAAGGCGGATGGGGAGAGGGCACCTCCTGTGGGTAAAGCATAAAAAACTATCAGACCAATCTCTACCTAATGTACACAAGCATACATACATACATACATAACAAACACTATTACCAGATAATAAAGTGAACATAAAAATGCTAATCTAAAGGCTTTTCATATCACTTAGTTTTAAACAGAACTGGTCTGCAAACTCACTGTAAAGGTTTACCTATGAAAAAGGGAAACCAATTACTTAGAATACACGTGCACTCTCTGCAGTGCAAAATGCAACTGGGTCATAACTGTAGGAATAGTGGGTTTGGGGCACTTGCAAGTTAGATTTAAATGCCACTGTAAGGAGCTCATGATGCAGTTCCTACCTCACTGATGTCATGACCACAGATGCCAAGGTTGGGTGTGGAGTTCAGATTGCCATCTGATATCAAGAATGGTTGTTTAAGGATGCTGCAAATGGAAGAAGTTGTTTCTTTCACAAGTAGTAAATTCTCATAGATTAAATTCTTAATATTTTTAATACAGGAAAGATGTTCTTCAACTTCCACATTATGGAGAACTGATTAAATCCTTTGGATGGAAGCATAGCTGATACCATGGCATATAAAAGTCAATGTAAAATGATGAACCAATTTATTTTGGATGCCATCTCCAAGCAAACAGAAAGAAGAAGGTTATCAGGAGTCAGCATGGGGAAACCAGGCTCAACCAAACTGGCAGCCTTCTGCAATGTCATCACCATCCAGGTAGATGAGGGGAGAGCAATGGATGTTGTGTACCTCAACTTCAGCAAGGCTGCCTCTCACAACATCCTTCTGAAGAAGCTTAGGACATGTGGGATAGATGAGTGGTCAGCGAGGTGGACAGAGAACTGTCTGACTGGCCAAGCTCAGGGGGCTGTGATCAGTGGCACTGAGTCCGGTTGGAGGGCTGCACCTTGCGGTACCATATGTACCCCACCAGCCCAAGAGTGAGGGCGCAATCCATGCACCTTTGTGTTTCTTCTTGCTCTTATTCTCTGAGCAGGCTTGGGTAGTAATTCAGGCTGCTACTGCTAGAGATCCTTCAGCTGTATCATTTTCAGATCCTTACAGTTAGCATTTCCCAGTCGGCTTGGTCAGAAGGAGAATGAGCTACAAGGACAAAAGTGGGCTTCATGTTTGTCTTAGTAGCTTAACCACAGCTGATCATCTCAGCAGTATTACGGGCTGAGGTGATCCCATTTGCAAAGCTCTAGTACCCTGTTTTTTGGATCCCTCAAATTTCTTGCCTTCTTGTTTCCTCATAATCATTCCAAATTACTCCTTCAAAATTTTCTTTTTAATCATTAAGAAGGGCAGCCCTTTAATCATTGCTTTTCAGTCCTTCATTGTTTGCTCATCCCTTCCCAGCTCCAGGGAACAACAAAACAGTGTGCAGAGGCAAATACTTCAGTAGCACCCTGAGAAGAGAGCAAGTGCAGACAGACTGGAAAACCCTTAATGTGGCAACAGGCTCCTTCACAGCTCTGTGCAGGAACTGCAAAGTAAACAGGACCGAAGAGCTCTTCCCTCCTATCTCAAAACAGTAAACTGTACCAGCTGCTTCTCTTTGCAAAAGCAGTGAATGAATTTCCATTTCTGATGGTCTTTGGGGTTGTCAGCCACACTCTTGCTCCTTGGCAAAGTAGGTGACACTACTTTGTTGCACAGAGAAATGGGAGGATTGACCTTAGGATTCATATCCAAGCAGACAGACTAACTGCTCAGTTTGACTTTGGTTTTCAAGCTATATTTTTTGCCTCCTGCGCTGACCTAAATACTGCTGTGTTTGTTTTACAAACATGTCAGGGGAAAACTGGTCTTGCCCTTGCCCTACATTTCCCTTTATTTTTTCCAGTTGAGCATCTTTAATATTTTTCCCTCTTTCCCCCTTATTATAGAACCTACTTTTTCAAGTACAATACTTCAGTCATTTGCTGGAATTCAAAAGCTTGTGAGGGGGCTTCATATCCCACTATTTAAAGGGCCAGCATTGAACCGATCTATTTCTATTAAATAAACAATTTGCTATTCGAAAACACTTAAAATGTTACTGCTTTGATTAATGTTTATAAGGCTTTAAAAAAACTCAGACTGACAAAGAAAAATTCCATTGCCAGAGTTTACCATTTCTGAAATAAAGGAAAAGCTCACTTACCTCTTCTGATGTTCATTTTCATTCCACTGCTTTTTGTTCCCATCAGACTATTCCCTCTGTGCACCTGCTCTCTATCTCCATTTATCTGATTAATTATCCTCACTTCTTCTCTACAGGCTTTGACAAGCTCCCTTTGCTTCTCCAGCTTCATCCCTTTTGTTGTTGTTGTTGCTTTTTCTCTTTTTGTGTGCTTTGTGTGGCTTGAATCTCCACCCTAGCAATACTGACACTCAAAATGAAACACAACACAGACACCACCAATGAACAGTATTACACAAAGTAACAATAAATAGCAAAACATCTTGGCTAGAAACCAATTTTTGGAGAATTTATAAATTAAACAGCTGAAAGAGTTGGAGGTGATGGCTTTCTGTGATACGTACTCCCATGGAGAAACAGCCAGAATCAAAGAGGTCTTTAAGACTGCACTGTACACATTATTTCCCTTTAGATAATACAACTAAATAATCGTTGTTTCAGGATCTAATACAAAGACTGAGCATCACAGAGGTGCTTCTCTTTTTTTCTTTCTACATCAGAGTTGCCTGGTGGTGTTGGCTGTAATTAGTTCTTACTAGAATTTCCACAATTAATTATTATTCCTCTCTTGCCCTGCTGTCAGTTTGTTCTGCCTTGCCAAAAAGTCCCGCTGCTAAGCAAAAATTTACCTGTGCTCGATCTAGAGAGGAATGATGGTCCAGCATTGAAATCACATCTGTGATATCTCCTTGTGTTCTCAGTTTCCTTCTCTGCTCAAAATTCATGTAACCTTTCCAAGTATTTCCGTTCCAAACTCTAAAAGGTCAACAAACCCTCGAGCACCTTTGAAACCAGAGCACTCTCACTATTCCACCTTCACCTTTTCATGGGACTGGCAATGCGTGTCACTGGCATTTCAGAAACTGCACTGGGCAGCACGCAGAGAGCAATGCCAGGTGTTACTCACCTGAGCAAGGTGCAGCCTGTGCTCTCTTTGTCAAAGAGCCGGGGAAGGTAGGAAAACATACTGGTAATTTTGCACAGTCGCAATTGCTTGGTCTTACATTCTCGCCAGCAATTGTTTCCTTTCACATACACCTGAACCAACCTGCACTTATTAGATGCCAATTTGCCCTGGGCGTGTTGGCTGTCTTTACAACTGATCCATCATTCACATTTAATAAAGAGAATCAAGTCCTAAATGCAGGTATGGTGAGATGTGGGTGTCTGACCAAGCTGTGGCCTCACATATCCCACCTCCAGTTGTGTTTTGTTGTTTTTTCTTTTCCCAAGCATGCTATTACTGTCTGTGACTCATTTCATTAATCTGGAGAGAAGGCTAGAAAACAAGTGAATAAACACTCTGCTTCACAGCCTTCTGTCTGCACTGTTTACTTCTCTGCTAATGAATGAACAGCTAAAAAAAACAGAATTATCCTAATTGGGGACGTTCAAAGGGACATTATCTCCTCTTTGTCAGTAGCCCTGCCTGGGTCTGCCAGTAATTACACTACATAGTGAGAAGATAAGCTGAAAATGTGTGCTCCCAATAACAGTGTAAAGATGAGAAAGTCCAGGAAAACAGTGGGAAGGGAAGTACAGGCCCAACATCAGAAAGGACAGCACAGGAGTCCTTAACGTGACTGCATCTTCTCTGTTAAAAGTGCTTAGAAAAACAACATGAGAAACACCAGGCACTTGTCATGCCGGACACAAGAGCCATCTCCAGCACTGCAAGGTCAGGCCCGCTCCTCACACTGTGCTGGAACTCAGACTTGGAGTCGTGCAGCTCACTCCCTGCACAGGCAGGGCTCTTCATTTATCACACATAAAGGCAGGCAAGTGTCTGAAACGTCCTACTCTCCCTTTATAAATTTTACAGCTGTCAGAACGATCCTATCTCTGGTGACAAGAATAAAGCTAGAAGATGAAGGACTAAATGAGAAACAAATTACTGTAGCCTCAGTTTTGCCCTCCAGTGCAGGAACTATAGGCATTCAAGGTCTAACTTCTGCCATTCTGGAAGCCTGGCTTTTACTCTCCCTTGCTATCCAACAGTCTGACACTGCTGCAGAAACACATATAGATGAACTGTTTGGCACAGCCCCTACTTCATCCCTACTGCTCCCAGATTCACATTCCTTGCTTCCCATGGAAGCACAAGGGCAGAAATATTGCACCGTTTCTTCATAAAATAGTATTTAGTGCCTACAGAAAGCATTTTAAATAACATTCAGGTTATTGTGAACAATTTCCAAGTTCAAGCATGATGCCAAGCCTGCACATGAGCTTTATGTGCTCTTCCCTCTTTGTTGTTACATATGCTGAGATTATGAAATTTAGTCTAACATTTATATTTCTGCACCTCAGCCCAAAGTTGAACACATTCTTCTCTGATCTCCTTTCAAAGAGAATCCATTAATTTCTATATCAAGGAGGGCTGACGTTCAATTCCTGAGCTGAACATACAGTCCAGCAGAAAACTGAATTCAACATTTGGCCGTTCCTGTACAATTTCTCTTCCTGCTCCCATGGCATGGAAGCAGTTTGTAACAGTCTCCATCACAGAAGTGGAATATATACAGTTTTGGTCACAAATGACATTTTATCCCTTCCAGTTGTCACACAACTGCCCCAAACATGCCCAAACACTTGTAGAAGCTGCTGTGTACATCCTTGTGTCCTTCTAGATGAGACCATGTTATCCACACTGTCCAGGATGGACAGAATGATGGGACATCATTGGTCTCTGATGCTGCCAGAACACATTGGCCAATGCCACCTGGGCTGCTCAGGACTTTGTAAGATGGCAAGTCTGATTCCAAGCCTGGCAGGACTCATAAACCTTCAGTCCTTGTGTAGAACTAGGGCTGCTCCCAGAGAGGACAACGGGATGTGATTTGCCAAACAGCTTCTCATAAAACTGAAGTTTCCTATAGAACTGAAGAACAACACTGTGCAAAACTGTCCTCTCATGCTGCACTTACTTGTGTAGAATACCACAGGATATTCTTCTCTTTGCAGTGTTCAATGGTAGAAGGGAAAGAAATGACAGAGATATGCAACTATGCCACATTCATCAGCAGTGAGAATCTTACTTCCTTATGGTGGGAAAGAAACCAAAAGTGAACCCAACAATGAAATTTCTGACTGAATTTTTGGGAGCTCTGCAACCCAGTATCTCTCTACATATGTAAATAAATATATTTGATTTCTGCTTCTAAATTGAAAGCATTTGGACCACAATACTTGAAATATGTTCACATGCATTTGGCATATCCCTTCAGAGATGTAAGCATACAAAATCAGCCTTGTCACGGAACTCATCGACACACAAACAGAAGACTAGTAGGTCTTAAAAAAATATCACTATTTAAGACTAATAGAAATGAATACAAATTTCTTCTTTCACTTACGCACTTGCTGATTCTAATCAAGAAAGCTCAAAGTCTTTGGTTGCCTGGGCAGGACTAATTAGAAGCTTCCACATTATTACTTCAACTTATTCAATAATACCTACCTCCAAAATATCACCTTTATTTCTTATTTTTCATGGAAATAATTTTCCGATGCTGAGAACAAGATTTACCCCAAGGGAAGTACACCTTTTCAGCAATCCTACAGAGAAGAGTTCCAGGCTTTACAAAATGTTTCTGCATTAACTTGCATAGTACAGACAACCACCAACACCTAGGAGTGGTAGAGAAAGGAAACAACTCTCTATATTAGACTGAAGTTATGGGAAGAAGGTTTGGTCTGTTGTGTGTGTGACTAGATATGCTGTATCAAGCAATATCAACAAACTATTATCTTATTATTACTGAGTTCCTGTCAGTCAGGCACAGAATTGCCATACTTCGAGATGAAGGAAGCCCCAAGTGATTGTGATTGTGCAGGATGCCTTACGACACCGAGTGGTGCAGTTTTGGAGTTAATGATTGCTAACCAGGTAATTGCTCCAGGATCCCCGAGGAAAAGCTCAGAAACTGGCTGCTTGTGAGAATGACAAGTTAATCGAGAAAATATTTGATAGCTCTACCTAGTGCCAGCCAAGGTTAGAGCTAGATGCAGAGAAGTTATTTTGAAACAAGGAGGCAGCACTGGCTGAGTCACTTTAAATCAGGAAATTCAATTCCTTCCTACTCCTCGGATTTTAAATATCTTACAGCAAAATGCTCTATAGGACTACTTTTTTTAATGTTTAGAGAAGAACCTGAAATACTGCAGTCCCGTCTTTCTAAAGGAAGAACCCATTGCTTCATAGCAGTGTAAAATATATCCAACAAAATTAAGAGTAATAGAATTAAGGGATTTAAAAGGAAGAGAACTAGTCCATCCCATTTTACTCTTTGTGGTGAAGTATTCCACACAAAGATGCAAAAGTCAAGAGGAAGAAACGAAAGTATTTAAGTGGCTACTTCTCAGCAAGCTAATAAATGACCAACTCCAAGAGATTTAAGAACAGCAGTGCTGTGACCCAGGACACTGGAATGGTACTTAGCAGAGCTGATTGAAAAAGGTTTAAATCCCGTGGGAAACGGGAACAGAATTTCCTATGAAATTGAAATGTTTATTCTGAATAAAGCTGAGGTTAAAGCACCCTGGGCAGCAGCTGAAAGGGCTGATGGCACTACCTACAGCCCCACATTCATCACAGCACTGTGATGGGGGAAACGCAGCAACCTCTGAAGAACTCTCAGCAAGGGGAGCATGGCAGACCTGCATACCACACCATCAAGGAGGGAACCTCTATCACTCTGAAAGAAGACCAGCATCATTTTGGGTTACCTCTCAACACACCCAAAAATATTAGAGAGTGTAGACACAGCCCCTTCTCAAATTGGAAGAAAAAGTACTCACTTCTAGTTGAGTTCATTTCTTTGTTGAGGTCTTCTTTTATCCCCACAGAGAGGAACATTTTTCCTCCTATTATTTATTGCTTGGGACTTTGCTCCTTGCCATTTTACACACAATGGAGATCCTTATCTCCTGCCAGGAAGTGTGATTCCTTGAAAATCCTCTAATACATAACAGTACTACAAAAAGTTTAGAAGAAAAGAGGTGGTAGAACTGTAACTAAGACAAAAAAAAAAAAAAAAGATAAAAAGCACTGCATCATGGAACACGTTAGTCTTGAGCCAACTATTTAGATTTTTTACTCATGACCAAAGTCAAACATACGGTGATGAACCAAAAGATAGGAAGATAAAGTCTCTAAAAGCAAAAAGAAGAAAGCTTACCTCACTTTGACAAGATTTCTGCAAGAAGAAAGGATGCTCATTCATGCAACTTTGGGAGAGCTGAACTTATCTGCAAAGCATATTTCAAATCTGAAGCATATTTCTTCAGTTATCAGTCTCTCTAAAAAAAGAGCTATTTATTTGGTTCAGTAACAGGATTTGCCTCAAAGTCTGATTTATAAACATCAAGCTGAGTCTTGCTTTGGACTATCTCAGAAAACAAACAAACAAAAAACTCTGAATCTTTATTGTATATCTATCTTTAGGGAAACATCATTATTGCTGAAGTCAGTAATTACTCTGGGTTGGAGCAACTGCTAGTATCCCAATCAGAATTTCCTTGATCATTACTCAAGCAGCAGCGCTTTTATTTTAAAAACCTTAGTCTTCCTCCCCCACCACTCTTCTAACACATTCTATTCTAATTTTAGTCTTTTGAGAAGTTTCTTTTCCAGATCAACCCACTCTTTTTTGCATTTAAATAATTTTCAGTTTTCTTAAAGAGCTCAGCTTTAGCAGGTGTTTCAGTAGCTAAGCAATAAGAAGTATCTCTTGAGGATATCTTCCATGTTTCCCAGACAGATTAGCCTGGAAGTTTCAAGAGAACAATATTAGGCAAAACATCCATGTCATTTCATTGCAAAACCACAACAGAATTCCTAAGATGAAGAATGCTAAAAGACACATCCCCCAAAAGAAGCATGCTCCCATAAACAGGTGAAATAAGAAGCAGTTGTAGCTCTAGCAATACCAGTAATTATCTCAAATGCAGTAAAATTCAGAAGCTTTGAGGCTGAAAAATCGAAGAAAATTACGAAAATTAGGAAAACCTTTTTTTGAATTATTCAGTTTCAGTGCAGTCCTGGGATCAAGAACGCTAACGGGCTTGCAACCATGGACCAAATAAATACATACCAGTGGATGCGGAAGAAAACAGCATGCTGTCAAAGCAGCAAAGACTTCACTACTAATTTGGGGCCTGCAGACTCACAGAGCTTAAATACTGTTATTATCAGACATAGAAGTTGAACTGAAGCATTCGATATACCCACTGGGTACTGTCAGGAATAACCCCTCTTCAGACAAAAGATAGTCTGGCCCTTCACGTCACTTCCAGCTATTTGGAAGGCGTATTTTTTTTTCTTTTGACACTACGAAGCTAAAAATGCTGCAGCACACTTCAGCAATTGCTTCTCCGCAGTCTCCAGCAATATGGAGGAGCCCACTGACAGCAACGCCTCTGTGCCTTTATGCAGTGAGAGCAGACCTATGAGATCTCGGCATCTGGCAGACTCACCAGGCAGGGAATTTTGAAATAACGTTAATGCCAGGGCTTGCTTACAGATTTATCAATACTGGTATTCATCTGCAGTCACGGGTTATCCTTGCTGAGCTTCCACATTTCCCCAGAGTGCAGAAACATCCTCCTCCTCCAGTGGAAAAGCAGGCTCTAATGAAGAAGTTGCATCTACCCTGCTGTGTCAGTACAGAGGTAGCACCTGCAGCAAAAACATCAGTTGCAATATAATGCTATAGCAGACATTTCCCACCTTACTCAAAACTCCCCTTTCTACTCCCTTTACCTCATTAAATTCACCTAACCAGACAAACCAAAATAATTCCTATTTTAAAGCTGTATGTAATACTCAAAAACATTTTTTGTACCCACTGCAAAGATTTCAGGGAAATGTTTCTTCAGCAAACATTATTACCTACGATCGCTCCAGCCTCAATTTTCTAGATATGAGAAGTGCTCAAGTATGCACCTGAGGTAAACTCACTGGTAGGCCTGCAAGAACTTTTAAGAGAATTATTTCCTTTGAGGTTTAGAGGACACACGCCCTGCCTCCCAGGCTCACCTCCTTGTGAGCTGAGGGTGAAGGAGCTGCGATGCGGGCTCTGCTCTCTGCTCGGCGCAGTCAACTTCCCAAGGCTGGCTTCATCCAAGGCTGGGCATGCGAATACCTCAGAGCAGCCGGCACGGGTCGGCACCCTCCCCTACATCTCACACAGCTCTAAAGCTTCACCGCCTGCTTACGGCTGCATTCAAGTGTTTAAGACTTTCGTCCCATCCTCCTCACCAAATCTCCCTCGTTCTCAAAAGCGCCTTTGTCTAAACGCAGACCAAAGCCTGAATTAAAAAGAGGACGGGAAATTAGATCGAATCGAGTCTGCGGCACCCTCGTTATTCCTCACGTCAGAAGCGGTTACATAATTGGGCTCCAGACTGCAGGCACTGAAGTGTTAAGAGAGAAAAGCAAGCCCAGGACTGCGTCCTGGGCTCGAGCAAGGAGATAACATAAAAGCAGGCCAAGAGCTTACCGCTAATGTTAGTTAATAACCGCACCGTGTCAAACAAGGCCCGTCATATGGCACGCGCGGCCACAGAGCGTGCAGCGCACCGAGCGGAAGCGGAATGATTTCATCCGCGCTCCGCGCGCAGCCGCCGGTGCGGGAAGGAACGCGCGGGAAGGAGCGCGGCGCGGGGAACGCGGGACGCGGCGGCAGCCCTGGGCTATGGAAAGGAATGGGGGCGGGGAACCGGGCACGGCCCTTCTCCAGCTCCTGCCGTAAAGGAAACAAATAGACCTTTTAATCTGCTTTCCTAGAGGCCTTCTCCATTGACCATTCATTTCTGCTCCCCCTGCCCAGCTCTTTACCTCCTTTACACGGCTGATGAATGCACAAATGCACGATGGGTTTGATAACAGCCCGTCCCTTCTAAAACCGGGCCACGAATTGAGACCCCACGCCGGAGGCTCTAAAGACAAGCGTGCCGTATGGCCACGGGTAGAGAGCCAGCCACCGCCCCGAGCCACCAGGGCCCCTTTATAACGTGCGTGAACGCAGCCGGAAAGCTTTAGGAATGGAACCGATGGGACAGCCGGCCAGAAACATCGGCCGTGCCCACGGGCGGGCGTGAGAGCGGAGCTGGGAGGGAAGCCCGCGGCGCCGGGCAGGGAGGGCCGGGGGGCAGCAGGGGGGGCAGCAGGGGGCGCTGCGGAGCCGGAGGCCGCAGCTGCGTGAAGGCGGGCTGGTTCGACGCAGAGCTCGCAAGGCGACACAAACCGCGACGTGAACAAAAGCAGGGATGACAAGAGAGTGTTGAAACGTGGTTTATTAAAATCCGTTTATAAAACCCTAGCTCAACACAGAAGGACGGAGGCCTCGTCCAATGCTGTAAGATGGGAACGGGGCTCTCCAGGAGGGTCGGAAGCCTGCAGGTCTCTGCCGGGCGCAACAAAGCCGTGCTGCGGTCAGATCTGAACCTCACCCCCCCAGCCCTGCTTTCCTTGTCTTTCAGCCTCCTTCTCAGGCTGTTAACACAACAGCACCGTGTGTGCCAACCACAAAGCAGCTTTCGCCCGCACCACTGGAAGCGTATAATTTTCATTCTAGACTCTGATAATATTTTACAAACATTTGCTTTACCTCAACTAAAAAAACCCTACATCATATAGCAAGAGAAAATATTTTGATCACGAAGTAAAACAAATTAGCAAACCAAGGCTAGGATACGATAAAACAAGAATTAGAATAGTAAAAAAAAAAAATGGGTGCATATCCTTAAAGGTGGCTTCCCACAGGTGATGGAAATCTTTGGATCCAGAAACACTGTCAAAACATCAGAAATAAAGCAGCAAACTCTCCTTCTTTGCTCCCAATAACAAAGTAATCCCAGCACGTCAGAACTGGAAGGATAGTGCACGTCAGGCAGGGGACCTGCAGAAGGGATGCTGGCAGACGCTGGAGGTCACTTGCAGAAGGTGCCACTTCCTTCTGAATTCCATTGGTCTCTCTTCCAGACCCATCTCCCATACACAGCTGTGTGTCCAGCTGCACCCCGCGGACACTGCGGATCCATGAGGAACCGTAACATGCTCGGCAGCACACTTGTGACTAATTAAATCCTAATTAAAACTCTTGGCATGAAGTACTGTTTAAATTAAAAACATCACAAGAGAGGGATCTGACAGTGGTATAGATGCAGCATAATGGTTACATTTATAAAACGAGCGCGTAATTAGAGGAGAAACTACAACAAACCCAAATAATTACGTAAGACTACATGAAGACTGTGAAAATGGAAATATATGGATGCTTTTTTTTTCCTAAAACAGGAATAACTGTTCACTGCTCAGATGATATTCTGGAACTATAGGAGATACGTTTGGAAACACTGACTATTCTTATCTATTCTAGCACGAAATGCTGTCCACATACATCCAAAGTAGAACTGCACCTGTGCTACTCATACAAAAAGCATTGGCATTTTTCTTCTTTTTCAGTACTCACAGTTGAACCCCTACAACACTTGGCAGAACACTTGGCATTTTTTCTATTCCCAAGTTTTAAAATGGCAGCAAAAGTTACTCTTATAGATGGCTATTAAAGCCTCGGCACACTAACATGCTGAGACTGTCTCCTGTTCTCTCCACTCACCCAACACAATTAAAGCCAAAACAAAGTCCCATAATATTTCTGGTATTGTTACATTTTCCCTAGCAATATGCAAACAGAATCACATCATATGAAGTAGCCTTTATAAGCAAAACCCTGATTCAAGATTAAAAAATGTTATCTTCCTCCTGCTTCCTCTTTGCAGGACAGATTCTTTGCAGTCTCTGTGACTGTACTCAGTCAACTGAGCTGATTGTACTCGTTCATTTTAGATTTTCCTTTTAACACATTTACCCTCCACCCACAGGTCTTTGGCTTCTTCCTCATTGGTTATTGCACCCTGGGGCTGCAGAAGAGGTGCCGGGCTGCTTCTGCTTCTTGCGGCGTTTGTTCAGGAGGCGGTTGTTGGATGTTTTCAAGTCTTTAATTTTCACCTGATCGTAGTCCACTCTCATGGTAGCCAAAGCACTGGTCATCTCCTCCTGGAAACAAAAAAATGAAATCTCTTGAGCACCCTGAGACAGAGAGAGCACAGCCTCCATCTGCTATTGCTAGGTAATGAACGTACAGAAAGAACTCTCTGTTGTGCTACAGCCAGGAATAACCAAAGCCTTTCTGCTGCACTGGGCCATGACTGAAGGTTTCATTCTACTCATGGACTCATTCAGGAGGAAATATTCAGTGTTTCATATGTGGGTACAAAGGACCACGCTCTGCTGGCCTGATTTCCACCACATCCCTATGCCCAGCATCACTTACTGCCTGGCTCCAGGCTTTCAGCAGCTGCTAAATCCAGGCTTCTTATAACAGAGTCAGTGCGCTGCTCTCCTTGCTCCATTACTAAAGTAGGTTAGCAGGAACCAGAATAGAGAGTCCACAGCAGAATACAGAGTCCACACAAAGTTACTTAAAAGTATGCACTTCAAATTCACGTGCCTTAGCTTGAAATAGCATTTCAGTGCTGGCAAATCTTAAACTTTTTAATAAAACAGATTTTTGTTTACAGCCTAAGTCAGTGAATGTCTATGCATTTAGTTCAGAAAAGGAAAAAAGATTAAATATTATAGGAACGCTAGTGACCTCTGGGACCTATACGAAGCACAAACAGAAGTTCTCATGTAAGTGAAGAAGCCTAAGAGAAAATATCTACTGGATCCCTATGCATGTTGCCTAGATCCTACGAAATTTTGTCATAATGTAGCTGAAGAGATGAGACTACACACTGGTAATTTAAATAAAACCAGCAACCAGTAGAATTCCTTAAAGGAACAATGCAATTAGCAAAATGCCAAGTATTATAAGTGCAGAAAGTTCAGAATTAATTGTAAAAATATGCCAACCTGATAAAGGCCAGCAGAAAAGAGTTAAGGCTTGCAAACAACTTTTAGTCTGCCCTATTGTTGCACTCTGCAGGAGGCATTCAACTGCCATCAGTACAAATAGTAGGTGAGGCACCTGGTTAGATTAAGGGAAAGACAGATACATTTTTTCTTTTTTTCCTCCTCCGTACTAAAACTGCCACAACAAGACAAGGCTAAGGTTATTTAATGTTGTTTTACAACACAAGAACAGAGTAGAAAAATAGAACGCAGCCCAACCCCGCCTCCCACCCTGTCCCCCTCCATTTTCATCATATCCTTCACTTCACCATAATGAACTCCAAACTGTCCCTTCTCCTCTGTGCTACATACAGTGGCTCAGCGGGTAGCATCATTAAAACCTTTGATCATAAGCATTTTCTTTGTTGATATTTTGCACAGCTGTAAGGCTGTCAGGCAAAGCTCAGATAGCATTCTTCTTTTTTAAACAGTTATCAACACTGTTGTGCTAACTAGGACTGTTTTTAAGGTTCCGTTGCCTAGCATGGTTGTATCAAAATTACCATGACCTCCAAGGAAATAAGCATCCACAGCAAGAAGAACCCATCTAGTCTCCTATGTGAATGGCCTCAAGAAATATCTGACTCACTTTAACTTCATCCCAGTGGTCCTTATCCTCTTGCAGGACCCGTGCGGTATGGAGGGGCGTTGGTGGCACTGCCATGGATCTCTGAGAAAAGCAAAAAGCACCAAAAAAATGAGTTCTGCAAATGCAACTTTAGGAAGCGACTGCTCTTCTATGTGTATGGAGAATATAAAACTTTATCTAACATCCTTCTGTGCCCCCATTATTCATGCTTTCCATCACTCCACAAGCCAGTACATAAAAGCTAGCCTGTGTGAGGTGGTCTCCACGTGACAGTACCATTACAGAATACAGGGAGACAGAAATCAATGCTGAGTTTCTTTCACTGTGCTCTCTTCCAGCTCAGCCAATAATCCTGGGTTGAATAATTTTTTATGCACATCTCCCATTTTTAACAACTTAATTTCACTGTTCATTAATTGTTTTGAAGTGATTAACTTGACCTTTATCTTCGAGGATTTGTAGTAGGAGATTTTTTTGTCTTGCAAATACCTTCACAGAGATTACCAGTTCATCAGATCATAAATGTGCCCAAAAGAAGAAACTGTACTATTTTTCAGAGTAAGTACTGATTCATTATTCTGGCACAGTAGAGAAGAAAATGAGTGCATTGCTTGCGATGCTCTTCCACACAAAATTGAAATCTATGTTCACCTGACATGGCAGATTGGTAGATATTTTAAATTAGAATAAGGTACAATTTCTAAAGCACAGTTTCCTGGTTAAATTCAGCAAGAAATATTCCTTGCCAGACCATAAGCCAAACCCTAACTTCATTCTGACTGTCTATCTTCCACATGCTTTCCCACGCAAACTTGCTGTCTACTGCTCTGGCATCCTGCACTACAGGTAGCTGCATGTCAGCAAAGTCTGAGCAGATCACTGTATTTATCACTGCAAAAGGAGCCTCACACTGGAAGCAGTGCTTCTATTCCACCAGCCAACAGCTTCAATGTATTGAGTTCTGCAACAGGTACAGAAGGGGAAGCAGAACTCAGGACTTCTGTGTCCTCTGGAAAAGTACCCCAGCTGGCAAGGGCATGGGTTTATCAAGCACAGGTGGGCTGAGGAAAATGGAAAAGAAGCAGATCAGCCTCTGTGGTGTTCCCGAACAGGTGCTGACGGCACCCTCCTACCTGCTGTCAACAAGCTAGAGGATTATATCCTCCATCTAAGCTGTCTTTTTTTTTTCATAAGCCACAGTAACATCCACAATAAAGGCCACGTATTTTTCACAGATTGCAATAATAATAAAAATGTAAAGAGGGGAAACAGACTGTACTGCTGATTGTGAGGCATCTCCCTATATATGTCCCTACATAGGGATTTAATAACAGAAAAGGAAGAATATAGACATCATTTGTGTTGGTCTGTCCCTTCCTCTGCTGCATGGGAAAAACAGGTTCAGTGGAAAAAATGTGAATCTGCTGCTCCTAGAGTGTTCTTCCAGGAAGGGTATTCGAGCACAGCTCGTTGGTGCAGCAGCCTATAGACTTTGTCTCTAATCTCCTCCTCATTAACTGGTTATAGGAACATTTGAAGTAACATGTGCTACTGTAGGTGGTAGCTTCCTTAGCTATTAGGCACTCATTCTGTGAAATTTATCGCCTGCTGACTTCTGGAACACGTCCTTTTCTTCAGCCTTCAAACACTTAAGCTGGAGGTATTTATTCTCAGTGATTACACTTTTATTTGGCTAAAAAAAAAAAACACATAAGAAAACTGTTCCAGTTTTACATACTTTTTGTAACCTCAATTTCTCAGCTCCCGCAACTCTAAATGAAGACATCTAACTGCTTCATCAGGATGTTATGTGGCTACATTACCATATGATTCTAAGTGCTTTGAGATATTCAAACATTACAGAAATGCTGACTGTAACTCATGATTTTTTTCTGCCCCTCCCCCCTGAGAAACAGGAAAGACAGAGAAAGGACTATAGGAGAAAAAAGCATTTACAGTTCAAGCTGTTCCTGGCTGATGACTTTTTGGGCAGTAAGAAATAAGTCTGGTTCTCCTTTTAGGCACACATACGAGAACTATAAGCTATTATTTTGATTATCTTGTGTGATACCGATAGAGCAGAGATGATATTCTGAAACTCAGTCTGATTAACAGATGACATTCTTGTCTCGTTTGAAATACTACTGCATTAATTAAATGAACTTCTACCCATCTCCCACCATCCAGGAAAGAAAAAAAAAGATCAAAAAAGAAAAATAAACTCAACCAAGTTACAGATTGAAACCTGAACTGAGACCAGTAACAGCTCTGTGTAGCACCTTATCTGGTCATGTCTTACAGGGCACTAAGCCGAAAACCCTGCTCCTCCCCCAGGCACTTTCCAGGATCTGCCAAGGATGAGAATTCCCACTAAACATAAGACTCTGTTCACACTAACACAGCTATGCACAATGGTGCCTAAGACCACTAATAATAGCTCTCTCTAAATCCTGCACTGATGAGGTAAGTACAGTTTATTTTTATATTTTTTTAAAGGGAGTAACACGCGTATGTGCTGCAGTCAACAGCGACTGCCTGCTCACAGAAGATATAGATGCATTTTGCTTCTGCTTCCAAGGATGCTACCGTGGGTGTCTCTCTTTGTGTATCCTCTGGTAACACGAAGAAGAATTGTGGTTCTACAGGCAGGTGCCCTTCTGTGAAGGGTATAGTAGGTTAATTAAGTTATGAGCAATAATCGTCCTTCTCTTGCTGTGCTATGTGGAGCTACACCGTAAACTCTGCATGCAAGAATTCATCTTGCTCTCTTGTAAAAAGCTACATGAAACTCACGTTAATCCAAGGGTGATTCATAAATTGGGAAATTGTCATCCTCTCTGTTGGGTCTGTCTTCAGTAAGTGGCGAATCAGTTGTTTGGCTGAAAAACAGGACCAACATAGTGTGTTGTAGTCTACTACTGTGGTCCCCAAAAAACCTTGAGAACACAAAGACCTGCTGAATGAAGAAAAGTAATTTTTCAGAACTCAAAACACTGTTTCCAAGTTAAGAAGCCTATATATAGTGTGAGAGGTTATTATGCCTGAACAGGCAGAACATGAAAATATCCCAAACCGAAAAGGTAAGAAGGAAAGACAAAGGATTGGAGATTCCATGCATGCTATCTACTTCACAAGACCAACAGTCATGAGATCAAGAACTTAAGAAAAAGAGAAACAGAGGAGTATAAAGCTGCTGGTTTAAAATATGGCAACAAGCCTAGCATTATGGGCTGAATGAATGCATAAGCTGACGTTTTGAGAAGTGACAGAAGACAAAAACTAGCTGTGAAAACAAAGACAATAAACTGCTCTGACAACTGAGAGGCCACTAAAAAAAAACCAACAAAATCAAAGAAATGGGTTACATAAACTGGCTTTACATCAGCTTTCTGTGAACGTAGCATTGGCCAAAGCAAGAGGTACTAACTCTGTAACCGAGATATGAGATGACAAGAGTTTGAACAAGAGATTCAGTAATGTGGACGGACAGGAAACACCGCATCCAAGAGACATTATTCAGAAAGAATCATAACTTCCTTGGGAGAACCTAGAAAAACTTCTGAATATGTTTTTTTAGCAGCATTAAACGAAAGATGACTAAGTGCTTTGAAGGGCCTGTGACAGATAGAAGTTTGAGACTTTAATGACAGAGGCCACAAAGATGATATACAGTAGAGAGTACCTGGAGTCTAAAATCTAAAAAGTTCTAAAAAGGAGGAAACCATGAACAGAACCCACTGATTACAGGAAGCTGGTGGGAAATTCAGAAGTAGCCTCCAAAGACTGCAGGAATGATCTAAAACAAAGGAAATGGTGACAGGATCATACAAAGGAGGGCAAAAAGAAGCAGCCTAAAAGAATGCCTATAGGCTAGCCAAACACTAATAGGTTCAAAGGTAGAGGACATCTACCTTTGCTGAGGCAAGCATATGGAAATTGTACATATTTTCCAAGCAAATGTTTTCTGATCAAGCTTTGCTAGCATTAAAATAACTAGTGTAATACAAACAAAATTCAATACTGACAAAATGTTAAGCCAGAAACCCAAAAATTAAACACCTTCTCTACCAAGGTGCAGGAGTTCATACTACACACTCAGTCGTGATGGGTTACAACAATGCCACAATCACAATATTCTTCCAGGATATCTTATTAGTGCTTTAGCAGCAAATGTGACAAGATGTTGACAGCAATAGAATAATGGGCTTGTTAGAAAGAAGATGTGCTCAGAAATTGACCCTTCTGTCTAAGCTGGGCAGTTGAGACCTGCAGGTTATGAGACTGTCAGAATAACAGAATCAAGACCATCCACTTTCAGGATCGGTTTGAGCCCATTCAGGTCACAGCTGAGCAGCAACAGGTTTTGGTCAATAACTTACACAAAATAAATTGTTGACCTTGATTTAAGTGGTGGCTGGCAAGCTGCCACATCACAAAGAGCTAGCATAAAAAGTTGCTGACCTTGCTGGCTGTATCACCAAGGAGGGCAAAGACTGAATGAGTTCTTAACACAGTTTGCCTTTCTTCCACCTTAGCTTGTGTTACAGCTGCCCTGACAATCCCCTTTCTCAGGATTATATATTTCTGTTTCCTGAGGGTTTAACTCAGGCTTTCACTAGCACTAGCTGGATTTGAAAAAAAGTTTTCAGACATCATTTACTTTCTACAGTGCTTTGGTTGCTGGCTAGTGTCTGAATTCCAAGTCCTCTTACAATACCTTACAATAAAAATACTAATATTAAAAAAAAAATTGAATTAAAAATTAAAATCAGGTTCTTAGAAAAAGTGCTGTGTAAAAACTTCTCCACTGCACAACACCGCACACATCAGAGGCACTGAGTATTCTTACCTTCTTCTGACACTTCATCCCATTCTGGATTGGGAAACCCATACTGCCCCATTCGAATTCTTCTCTTCATCCCAGGAGAAATAGCTTGTCCAGTGTTCGAGTAGAATGGAGGGAACCCACACAGGCTGTAAGAATGGACAAAAGAAGCCTTATAGATTAGAAAGCTCTTAAACTCCAGTGCAAGCTTATGCTCTTCTTAATCCTAGTGACTACTTGTAAATGCAGATTAAATAACATCCCTTATTTCTGTTAATCTGGACTCTTCAAATACTTACAGAATGTATGTGATGACACCCAGAGACCACATGTCACATGATTTGTCATACTTTTCAGGACCAAGGACTTCTGGGGCTAGAGAATTGAGAAAAAAGCATAAGCTAACAGAACACCACGTAATTCTTCGTGTTTCCATCACCTTATAAGTAGCAGCATAATTCAACAATAAATATGGAAGGCATTAAAAAAAAAAAGTAAAATCAAACCAGAAACCCTCATATGCCACACACTGCAGTAACAGTGTGGTATTTTCTATTGACAAGTTCCCAAGCTCATCTCTGTAGCTTTAAAGAGGAGGAACGGAGCTGGCAAAATGCCCTATGCTCTTCACCTTACTGTCTCACTGCTCAAGAGAGTACTAAGATTACAGAAAAGCAGAAGGAGCTATAGCTAAATGTGTACAGGGAGACATAACACTGAAAGAGGCCTGAGCATATGTTCCAGAAGTCAGAACAGAAAGGACCTGCTTAGCTGTGATACGATTTTGAAAAGTACCTAGGTGGAATGTCTGGCTTTTTCGACTACAGAGCACTGTATTTTCCTTTGGCTTCCAAAGCACTGCATCTTTCTCTAAGCAACAAAACGTTACAGAGATGCATTCAGGGGGACATTTCACCCCCCCACCTCCTGGGCAGGTGAACTGGTAGGGACCCTGAGTTTGTAAGAAATGACTCTCTAAACATATGAGCAATCCTGCTGGTTTATTTAAAAAAAAAAAAAAAAAAGGTGTTGAGAAGGAAAATGTCAGCCTGTTTATATACAAAGGCAGAAAAACATGGATGTGAAAATTCTTTAACGTTTTATCACTAATCCCAATTTAAGAAAACAAAGAAGAAAGCACCAGGAAGAAAACTACTGCTATGGTAGGTTTCTGCTAACAAATGAGTAACAACATCTTCCATTACAAAAAAAAACAAGGTAACGTCCACATAGAAGGGAAGTAACTCTTCTAAAAAATTAAGCCCTTTCTCCTCCAAAGAAATTCCAAGCACAGACTGCCTCAGTCGTACCATATGGTGAATGACTACTAACTCAGAGACCAAAAAGGACATACTCTGAAATGAGTGCACAGAGCACAGTCTTATGTGGCATCCATTACGCAGTGCTTTGGACAAAATGCAGGCAAAAATTCAGCTGTGACTAAGTCACTTTGATCTTTTATTATTAATTCCTCCATTTGCCATCTTTAAGAAGTCTTACAGCTGACGGAGTACTCTCCCTGATTTTTTATTGCATTAGTTAAGCTATGGGAAGTTTTGCAAGGAAACACCCAAATAATTATGAAACTGAGTTCAAATTATGGCTATTATTGCATCATCCAGAGAAAACATCAAGTTTACTTCAGTGTAATCAGATGTAAAACGTTCTCTCTCCTTGATCCTCATTTGCACCCCTTGTTAAGGCTGTTTCCTATCAAGGAAGAAAAGGAAGAGGAATGGACTGGACCCAGACTAAGTTTTGGGATGGACTAGATACTATTTTAAATTCTGCTGGCTCCCTTTTTGCCTTACATCCACAGGAGAAGATCTGCCACTCATTCCCACAGCCCAGAGACCCACGATAGCAGGAGGAATGAGAAACACAGAATAAATGCATTTTGGATGACTCACCCACATAATAAGGAGTGTAACAGGGGGTCTGCAGCGCATTTTGTACAGTGGTTTCTTTGGCAAAGCCGAAGTCTGTGAGTTTAAGTACAGTATCCTTTTCTTTTGATGTGTAAAGCAAGTTTTCAGGCTGAAAGACCACCAAGAGAAAGGATAAGCAGGGTAATGAAGAGAGGCCTCCAATGAGCTGTGTCAAAACACTTCTGCTTGCCTTGATTACCACCAGTATTTGGATCCCCTCTTTACCTCACATCCCACCACATCACACAGAAAGTTCCCTCCCAACACACCAGCACCTTTGCTCAGAGTAAGGACCAGTGTCCCTCGCAACATGGTGTCAGTTCACTGAGCGTGTTTAGGGAGCGTTTGGGGCAAAGCACTTCAGTTTCTGTGCTGGTGATAGGCAGTGGCACACAGCTCCACAGTACGTATATATACACATACCTGAACTGTTAAGCTATTCTCCAGTTCTTACCTATGGAGCAACTCCACCCTATACAGGTAACCCTCAGTGACACCAAACAACATCAGTTCTCCTGCCAACTAAATGCACAGAAGCATCCATAGAAACTTCATGAACCCTTTATTACAAGGAAAGTACAATTCAGAAAACAAATAATAACTGATAAAGACTGCAGATAAAGATACAGCACCTAGTCTAAGTTTACTCAGGCAGTGTTGTTTTCTTGCTAATTAACTGGATTCCAAGTCGCTGGTACCTCTTCAGCTAACCATCAGATTGTCACCCCGATCCCCCTGCATTCTCTACACAACTGCAAAGCATTAGCACACATGAACATTTTGACCTTGGACTAGAAGTGATCTAGTTGTGAACAAATCCCCTCTCACACTGGCAGAGGAACAGGAATACTTAGATAATCTATTTGTACTCTTAGTTCTATTTAAACCACCACCACCCATTTATTTTTCCACCCTACACTCTTTTCTCCTGACCACACACCTCCAGACCTCACCTTGACATCTCTATGGGCAATGTTCATTGAATGCAGATACTGGATGGCTGTGCCGATGTCTCTCATTATTTCAGAGGCCTCTATAAATACAATTTTAGAGAAAGGTCACATTAACATTACCACTGTAACTCAGGGACATGCTTGGGAATGCTTATGACTTACAAACAGCTTGCTGGAATACATGGCTAGCATCAAGAGTAGAATATCTAAAATTAGCCCTAACAGCTGTGTTTTGGTTTTGCAGGCAACCATACCCCAATTCCCCGGCTGCTCAGCCCTCCTCCCAAGCAGGCACAGCAACTGAAGAGTTGAGAATTCTGCTTTTCATGAGCTTGGAAATTTGTGCTTTAATTTTCTCACTGGAAAAGCAGAGAAGGTACACAAGCAACTCCCAGCCAGGATGCAGCTCTGGTAGTTCAGGACATGACCTTGGTTATCCTAGACAGAAGTTTAACTTTCAGCTTCTAGTTCAGGGGTAATGGGAGGATCTAATAGATCTTCTAAAAATAGAGCAACATAACAATATAATAATTTGAGGATAGGTCACATCTTTTTCCTCACTGTCTTTAGAAGTTTTCCTTGGAAGAAATGAAGTCAGCAGTTCTACTCTGCAGAGCCCAAACCTCCCACTACCAAACAAGATGTTTCTAAAATTTAACATGTGTCCCAGTGGTAAATTCTCTGGCTGGTGAGCTGCCTTGCAAGAGCAGTACTCAAGATCTGGATGAGTTCAGTTACACACGGAGAGTCTGGGAGCAGGGAGGTGTGACATTCCCACTGTAGCAAATGAGCATTATATTACATCTTCATTAACAGGGAAACAGAAATAGCCACTTCAATTTGCTGCTCTTTTCTGCACAGGTAGGAACCTCAGCTGCAGCAGTGAGAGGGAAAAGAGAAATTATTGTACTGTAACCTGGAAGCCATTTTCACATCACTTTTGATTGAAATTATGCAATCTCAGGCAAGAACAACCAGAAAGCTAAAAAACACCCATCTCCTGAAGGGAAAGCTGTGCAAAACTTCCCCCTTCCTGGCACAGGCTGAAAAGTCTGGTTTTAACGGAGAGTTGTGGCTGATGAATAAATGGCCAGTGAACCTGGGGAATCCAGTGCTACAGGGCTTATTCATCTCAGGAATGAATGAAAGGCTATTTTTATCTTAACACACCCAAATGGTTTCTGAGGAAACACGTAGGATATTATATAATACTATTTAAAATAGAAAAATCCTGTCTGTAGCACTAAGAACCATCAGAACAGTTTCCTCCCTGGAATCTTGTATTTTAGAGAGGAACAAATAAAGTGTCTGAAAATGCTCCCACACAACATTTGTATCAGTTCAAGGATTCATCCCTGGCCAGGAAACATTGGAACACAGGATCAAGAATAGCCCAGCCTCTATAGCAGCCTTCCAAAACACAAGCTCAGGTATAATTTACTAGCTCAGGTATAAATTGTTCCTCTTCAAATCATTTTGTCAGGACGCCAGTTACAAACACTAATATTTTCATTCCTAGTTAGTAATAACCCTGTTTGTTGTGAATGGGCAAGGAGAACCACATTCAAGCACATGTGTAGTTCTCAGCAAATAATGATTAACACTGACAGTAAAAATGGCAAGAGTATTCTACTGCAAGCTCTGTCACTGGCTCCTAGCAGGTTTTCACACATGCACACAGTCCCTATTATAGATGAGGAGGCTTGTTTGCAGCGTGGCTAATAACACTTCCTTTCAAGTAGTGCTTTAAAACCCTCAAATAAGAGATGTTTCATCAAATGTGATTTGCTCATTATATTCCCCACCTCACAGTATAGCCGTGCATCGGGCTGTTGTTTAAGGGACAGCCAGAATAAAAATCACAGCAGGACCTGAGCTGATGGTGGAGGTGGTCTGGCAGGAGACCAGGGACAAGAGTAATAAAGGCTGCAGTGGCTCATAATTGAAAAAGCTGAGCAAATGTGTATAAGGAATTTTCCTCTAAACTTCCATGTTGTGCCTGAACTTGGCACAGTCCGGGAACTTTTGATTCACAACAAACTTTAGAGGTAACTCTTTACTACAGAATTGAAAATAAATAAAATGGAAACCTACAAAAAAAAAATCAAACAAAAGAAAAAAAAAGTAGGGGGAAAAAGCAAAGAAGCAATTTGTCACAAACGTTAAACTTGTGATTTTTCACCTCTCTCGGTGAAAGCTTGGTCTCCTCTCTCCTGGATTCTGCTAAACAGCTCTCCTCCCTCCATGCTGAAACAAAGAACACACAGAAACAACAAACAAAAATACCTTATGTGAGCAGGAAAGACCAAATTAACACCTGACTGTGCATCTGTGAGCCATAGCAGGAATGGATTAGAAGAGATTACAGACCACCTCCCATGCCAATGCCTCTTAAACACCACGCTCCTTTGAACCAATGCACAAAGCCACTGTGATATGGAATAAATAGAAAACAAAGCAAAACTAAGGAGTTTTGATGCTTTCTGTTTAATGCACACTGACATAAGGAACACGACATGCACAGTTGGGAAGTCAGATACATTGGCAAAAGGAGACTGTTTTGTATAAGGGTAGGAGATGAAGAAAATAAGAATCAAAGGTAGTGAAAAATGTTATTATTTGTCTCTAGTGAAGACACCATTTTGGTATTACAGATCATAGAGAGAGTAGGAAAAGTTATAGTCAAAATGGAATAAAAACAATCCCGTCAGATCACAGGACTCGTAGTTGGAAGTCCAATCAAAGTATATCATATTTGTACAGACATATCTTTCAAGATCATATTAACTGGCCAGCTTTCGTAAGGATAATTGTCAGAGTACAAGAAAATTTGTGTTATGCTTAAGGTTTCTCCTTCTCCCATTGCACAAGTTGGCTGGAACAGCTGTACATTTACCTACAAGTTCCATAGAGACAAGAGGCTTGCTGCCTAAACAAAACTTGTGCTGCTGAGAAAGCCCACTTAATTCTTTTCTAAGCCAGTATTTTCTCCCCCTGCCTCCCTCAGCCCCTCAAAGAGCAGTGCTGCTGGTCCATACCATTCCATGACAATGAGGAGGCATCTCTTTCCATGATGTATGTTCTCATAAACATCCAGGATGTGGACAATGTGGGGACAACCTGATGCCCGCCAGTGATATTCTACTTCCAGACGAGCTTTTGGGTTGTCATACAGGAGCTGTAAAGAAACAGAAGAAAGCAATGACATCAGTTTGTATCACTTGGCTTTATGGTATGTAAACGCAGCCAGTTTTTGAGTTTAAGGATGGCTCCAAGGACAATCTGAGGCACTTTTCTCCAGCCAAAAAATGTCAGTCCATCACAGGACTTCTACCACCTCTGAACTGTCCCACTTTCTGGACTGAAGAATACAGAAGCCACAACTGGTCTTTCAGAGCTGAGGGGTCTGGAGTGGCAGCAAGGAGAGATTTTGAAGGAGGTGGATACAGAGCCATCTCATCCAACTCCAGATGAGAAACTGTAGGTTTCATCCTACTTTTTTTTTTCAGTATTCACACTGCAGTCAAACAGAACATGTTGTGTAAAAGGAACTCCTGTAAGGAAACCAGCCCTTGTACAGCCAGGTGGAATGGAGCTCAGTGGAGCTGGAGCCCCCCACTTTCTGGATGGAGCAGAGACTCGTTCTGCAAGTAATTGTAAAAGAGGAAGGAAAGTTCAGGAGGGAGGCAGAGCCTCCCTCCCACACCTTCATTTTATACCTATTTTATAGATTTTTTTCAATACAGCTAAGTATTCCGCAAAAATCTCACCTTCCTCTTGGAGAAAAAAAAGTGTTGGAAGAAGGCGTAGTCTCAGGACACAACCATTCAGATCAAGAAAAAAATGCCCTAAGCTAGGGAAAGTAATTCTGCCTTCAGTTTAGGATTAACTCCTTTCTGGAGCAAAACTGATTTTATGACAACTTTTCTTCTGCCCTGTTTTGCCCTCAGCCACCTCCCAACTTTTGCCTTAGGGATGGCTCTCAGGACATCTGCTTTCAATGGAAGGAAAATTAAGTATGCTCATGCATACACCTAAGGGTTAAAACCTTAGCAGATAACAGCATCAAGAGGCTGCATAAGATTTTCTTCCAAATAAAAGCATCTGGTAGTCTGGATCCTCTCATTGTGTTACCCTGCTAAGGACAATGACCCTCCAACCTGCCCCCCAGACGCTGGGAGAAAAGTCTTCCAGGTGCAGTGCAAACCCTAACAGTTCAGAGATTGAAAGCAGTAAGATTTTTCATACTGACTCTGAACACATTTCTTAAACTTGACACAAACATCTCAAAGCATCAGGGTCAGAATGGCCTTTCGAATATCTGAATGCCTGAACTTCTCCCGCTGTCACATGCAAGGCTGGTTTATTTTAAAGGCGTTAATCTCTGGAAGGGAGCTCTAAGAGCTCATCTTTCCCATCCTGGAACCTTGCACATGAGAAACAAGTCCCTTCCCTACACCATATGGCTGCGATTTCAGTTTGGTACTTCATACCCTGTGGAAATAATCATTGTAATGATGGAGCAGCAACACAACGGGTGCTATATAAAGCATCATCCAGTGCATTGAAAGGGTAGAAAAACACCTCTGATCTAGTCACCTTAGGAAAGGATTAAACAACTGTGCAGGGCCTCTTTTCAAACACAGAAACAAAAACTGCTGCACTATCTGGTATTAGCCTGGGCTCTTCTTGTGTTTGCTATCAGGTCCCAATCAAAACACAACTGCATGATAACTGCTGAAAACATGTAACATGCCATTAGGGAACTAAGAATCAGCTCGGGAAAATGAGATTGCTTCTCCATCCAATTGCTGAGCTTCCCAAGGCACAAACGGTGTCTCAGACACCTCTTGGAATACAGAAGCATGATTTAAAGGTCACAGGAAGGAAGTCACAAATTCTAGTTTCTATACTGACTCCAAGGCAGGCAATTTGCATCGCTTGGATAAAGAGCTTATTCCCCTCTGCTGCTCCAAAATCCCTGCAACAAAACAGACAGAGTAACACAGCACAGACAGCTGTATCACCACACAAATCGCTGGTGGACCCCTGGGCAGAATGCAAGGAGATTCTCTTCTCCTCCAGGCTGCGAGCAGGGAGAGGGTGATGAGTGCTGTGGGCACACATTGCTGTGCTTCTGTGATGGAGGAGAGGATGATCTGCCTGAGCAGGCACTCTCTACCATGGACGGCCCTGGGGGCTGCTCAGCTCTGCCCCATGGGTTCCATGGCCCCAGCATACCGCCAGCTTCTCCATGGTGCAAACAGCTGAACGAGCTTTCTCACCAAGTGCAGTGTCCTTGCAGCCAACCCACTTCTTCCACAGCTGTCACTCTGCACCCAGAGCACACTCGTTTGAGATCACTCGCTATCCGCCTCTTCCTTCCTGCTCCAGCCCAGCGATGGCCTGATTTCCAACACAAATAACTTCCTAAAAAAAGAGATGGCTCCAATTTGGACAAAAAGTCTATTACCAAAGCCTGAACACGCCTGCTATACTTTTCAGCCCCAAGCCCATTCAGCAGCTTTCCCTTCCCAGCCGCTGTGTTCCAGCTCATAGGGCTGTCCATCAGCATTTTCCTCTCTGCCCTTCGGAGCTTGGGCTGGCGCCTGGAGGGCTCTTCAAAGGTTCAACAATGCAACAATACAGCTCCAACACCCTCAGGATTAACCAGGCCACTCAGAAAAGCATGAGGCAATTTACTGCTTGGATGTGACTGGATCGGCGCCACTTCTGAGCAGGACACTACACAACCCTCCTCACCTTTCCTGTGCTGTTAATTACACATAACCATTATCTCTACTAACGTTAATTACGCTATAATCTGTGTACCTGGCGCTTGCACAGTGTGCAGAGATGGTTTTCATGTTTGCAATGAGTGCTTATGAAAATTATTTCACTGAATTGAATTCCCACTCTCTAAGGTGCCTTTACAAGGCATTTGGATACACGAGGATCCGCAGCTTCTGCTCTCCATTCCTACAAGCAGGTTTCATGTACCCCTCAGTGCTAAGCTTGGATATACTCATGTCAAAATGACACCTGGAAAGCACAGAAAAGGAAATGCAGAAAGAAGAGTACACATACCAAAATGTGCCAGAAGCCAAGCAATGTCTGATGCATCAATCAAACACTAACCTTTGAATTTCTTCTTCTGAGCCTTAAACATAAATTAAATCTTATATCTACATCTGGAAGCTATAATCTACATCTTTTAAATAGTCTCACAAATGCAGACACCTGTAAAATGAAAGCCAGGCAAGGCTAAAGGTTACATTTCTACAAAATGTAGGCGATGGTTTAGAAACAGCCTGAAACTCTAGCCTAGTGGTAGCAAAACTGTAAATGCTGCCATCTTCTCAAGGCTACAGAGTGTCCTCAGCCTGCTCCTATGGCTGTGCCAGCATGGTACCACTGTGCCCAGGTCTCTGACAATATACACCAGAGCTGAGGGAATCATCGACAAACCCAGAGCCTCAGAAACTCTTCTGAGACTGCTGGTTCACGCTGTGGTCTGAAGAAAGAGGAGCTCCAGTCCCCCCCAAAGCTCCCACATGGCACAGCTGAGTTGTGATCCCATTGCAGCAGCATGAGTCAACCCAACTCCTTATCAAGGAAGCCCCAAAACATTGACCTATCTCCCAAATTTTTGCTGTTCCATATCAGAGATCCATTAAGAGAGCTCTTCAGGTCCAAACCCAACACCTCTCATTCAGAAAACCAGGGCAGAGAGGGAGCTGTTGGTGAGGAAGTGGGGTGTGTGCACCCGGCTGCCCCCAGCCCAGGGCCCGCACATTGCAGCTGGAGCTCCTCAAGCTCTGGAGTACTGCTCTAACTCAGGTCAGTGAGTGCCTACCAAGCCAAACTTCAGGACTGCAGCCTTGCTGGCCAGCGCTGTGTGATTTCTGCCTGTGCAGAATTTCTTGATGGGGAAAAGAAATAAAAAAGAAGTGACACAGTAGCTTCTAATTGCTCTTCCATTGATTCAGTATTGTGTAAGCAAGGAAGGAGAGCAGGAACCCTCATACCTTAGCAGACCGATCTATACAGAAAACAGCCTCCTAAGGACCTCAGAGAACAGCATTTTCTAGACTCTGAAACTACAACAGCAGAGAGAAGATACCCATAGGCAGAGGTGTAGGACAGGCTGTGGGCAGGAAGCAGCGACTGCTTTGTGACTTTCCCGCTTCACACACGCTAGCACAGATGAGATATTACTATTACACTTGCCCTCCATTCCCCACACAGGGAATTCAGACCCTTGCACGTATTTGTTTCATTTATTTGAAATTTCAGCAACTCCCTCAGGTTCCAGCGGTGCCCGAATTAGAGCTGTCACAGGCTCAGCCATCACTTACTGCATGCACCATGCTGGAGCAGCACCCAGTGCTGCATGCATCTCACCCGCTCCAATTCCGGACCCTGAACTCTTATCTCCTTCAATAGACAATCGCTTTTATCACCCCTACAATCTATTTTGCTCACAGGACGGTTTCCCATTATTAACAGGAATGGAGCTGGAAGAAACTTTCAGTCCCTGGGGTCCTCAGCAGAGATACATGTGTATTTAAGCAGAGCTGTTATTTTTCTATCTGAGTAGAGAAAGCCTCTGCTCAGGCATATGCGGGTAAATGCCTAACTTCTTTTGCTCTCTTTCTTTCATGTAGCAGTTACAAAAAATGCTGAATCCTACAAATAAGCCTGTGAATTTAAATTCACACTGATGTGCAGAAACTAACACCATTTGCTGCAGAGCAGCTCTTCCAGCCATTCTTTATTCAAGAGGAGCTGATGGCAAAAGGCAGCTTGGATAACGTTTCTTTTATCTCAACTCTCCTATATGCTACCAAAAAAAAAAAAAAAAAAAGCTATCACTATGGCTTGGGACATTTAGTCTTTTCTTACACCCTGATTGTTTGCACATCTATTAATTCAATGTTAACAATCTTTATCTGTTTCAGATCCCTCCAGATCCTAGGGATAAAGCCACCCTTTGTGTCTGAACACAGAAGGAATTGAAATTACCCAGAAATTCTTCTTTATGCATCAGCACTTCCTGTCAATCAAACAGCAGAAGCTCTTGCCTGTTTGCAGTGGAAGCCCAGCAAGCAGGGAAATGCACAAATGCAAAGCTCAAAGAAAGCAATGATCTTTTGCTTAATAAAACCCAGCACACTT